AAATGCTCAAGACAACTATAACATGTGTTATCACTGGTAAGGGTTATCATAGGTTAACAAAAAACTTCAGGAACATTAAAGCTCTGATGCAGGATATTGGCTGGTCCTTTGCATGGAGTATATGATTTAAATGGCAAATAAGAGCCAACCAGTCTTGAGGTGACAGGCTAAACAATAAATAAGCACAAAGATTGGAAAGCTTGAATGCCATCCTGGGTACATAGTTATGCACTGCCAGATAATTTCAGTCACACATCACCTGATGGTATCATGTCTCCTTGATTAGCACTCAAAACATAAAAATTATAGATGTCATAGAACTTGTCAGTCCTTAGCAGAAAACAATTCAAGGTCATTTCTCTCACTAAGTCAGTTACCTCCATTTACACACCTTGAATAGCCTTATTTTGCAGCAATGGCAAGCTTAAAGAAAAATACATGAAATATGATTAAATCTATCCAAATTGCATAAATATTCATATAATTCCTACAGACTACATAAATACAAAATGGAACATTCTGGCAAGTTTGTTATTTAAATTGTTTGTGTGTCCTTTTTAATACTTGCTGTCCATTCCAGTTGAATAACAAATACCTGATAAGTGACTGAAAATCATACTTTTCCTGAATACATAGCTACATTCCATATGTCCATCATTTTGTGTAATAAAATGCATTGTAAAGCATGCCAAAAATAGGGTAGCAAGCTGTCCTATATACATATATGCATGATGCAATGGACACCTATTTGATGACAACCAATATTTCCAGCTGATACCATTAATCTCTGCCAAAAATATAGAATCAGAAGAGTGAAAAGCACAGGACCTGTGAAAATGTCACCAGTATTTAGTTCAATGTTTGAAATTCACAAGTGAGTGCCAGGAGGAAGTTTTCATGCTTAATATTAGCAAAAAAAAGCCTCACCTTGTTGCTTGGCTGATATGCCATTACCATTCTTGTTAGCCAGCATTTCAACATCACTAGCCATCTTCTGATCACAGTGGAGTTCAATCCCAATGCTTTATGTTCAAGTTGAGACAATTCAAAGACAGTTCACAAAATGCAACAGGAGACTGTATATTCACTCTTGTTTCACTGAAACTTAACTTCTCGCTATTGCAAAACGTCCACACACAAGCTGGGTAAAACTGAGATCAATGTGGCACTAGAGACAATGTGTAGACAATTGGAAGTCCTTGGAATACATCAGCTCCTTTAAGATTCTTGACACAATAACAAGCCTACAAATCAGGCACAGAACTTGCTCTCGTCTTCACTCCCACGACAGGATTGTGAGCTCGGTTGAGTTGATGTACGCTCTTATGAGATGTGAAATGCACCACGACACCATGAATCGCGATAGGAACGTGAAACAACTTGCACTTCCAAAAATATGAAGATGACCACGAATGCTGCTATGTACTGAACGGCAATTTGTATCCCTTTCTAAATACCTCAAAGGGACGCCTCCAAACGTAAACGAATAACAAATAATAACAACCACAAATATGACCACGAAAGATGTCGGCGGCCCCTTCCCAGGCGCGACACGACACAAGGCCGATGGCCAGCTGTTTGCGCCCGAAATTATATCGATTTTACTGCCATCTATGTTTTCCTTTATTTATGAAGGATACTAGTGTTTGTCAGATCCTGTAAAATACATAGTTTTCAAACAAACACTTTTAAGGATAAAAAACATAGGTTTGACGTCTTCATCACAATCATCATTTTCATCGCATTTTATTCTGGCCTTCCTGAGTTTGAAAACATAAACACAAGCTACACCTTTCTACGATAACGACGCGGGACAAATCAAAATACATGTCGTACTATATGCTTAGAGTAGCGCGTTTGAGGCGGCAAATGGAATATTTTGTTAACGGCGAGATAGTTACCATTTCAAGAAACTTCTACGATGGACTATGAATTTTATTAGCGCAATATCCTGAACTTGCTTTTATTTGTTATACGAGGACAGCCGTTTGGGTCAGGGAGAAACGAGGCAGGTGGGGGGATGGAGCAGAGTGGATGGGGCTCAGTCCGCAAAATATTGTCTGATGCCGCATGCACCTGCATGATATCGATGCGCTGAACGTCGTGCTCATGTGTGCAAATTTAGACCTGGCCACTTTGCGCTTAGTTTTTAAATGCTTGTTAATAATTTTTTGGCATATTTGTGATTACCTCTGCAGCGTCATATTTTCCTGATGCTTTGGTTCTGTATGCACTGAAGTGAGTGGCAACCATACACTTCACTCTGAGCACTCAGGGATTGAAGCTTGCATGCGCAGGAATGCATGCCTGGTTTCAGAAGGTCACATTGGTCACATCACATCAAAATTCTGGAGCAACATGGCTTTGTCAGACATGTTCCACATATTGTGCATTTTTGTAGTCTGTGGCTTGATTGGTGGACCAAAATCAGCTAGAATGTCAAATAATGCATTATTATGACTTATCCAGGTCCAGGTGGAAGTTAAAAGGGCAGCTGAGGCGAGAATGTCCGGCTGCTGGTCAACTTACCAGACTAAAAGTCCATAACAAAATGTGTTGAACTTTTGAAATTGAAATTGAATTATTTGGTATAACCAGCTATTGAATATCATGCATTCCCCAAAAGTGATCAGGTGTTACACCCATACCAAGCTTGTTAAATTTTGAACAACTGCCTTTGCTACCTGAACAGTTTTCAAGAAGCTTGCAGCATTGTGGATGCTTGCTTGTCAAACTAGTTGATGGCATTTAAATATATTTGCCTACTCATTGTTGCCTTGGCTTGTAGAAACACAATTAAGTGATTTTGCTGTGGTGGCCATTAGTTTAAGAAGTAATTTAAAGGTATGCTCAAGCTACTCATCAATTTCATAACACCTTGAAGTATTTCAAGGTCTTATATTAGCACTGTTTAGAGAGAAAATATGTGTCTGAATATGGTTCTGTATTGACACTGAAAATACATATCATGCTTTCAGATGGGTGTGGAAAGGCAACCTCAAGTGGTCACAGCGGTGATTCGTCCCAGCGAGAGTCCACCAGTGCAGAGAGCAGCCAGGAAGCTGCCACCAAAATGTGTTCCTGCTGATGGCACTAGATCAAAGTCAGCTACATTATGTCAACGTCAAACAAAGGCACCAAACGGTGCAGGCGCTTTACAAAGTGCAGGGTTTACCAGGCCTACTACATCATCAGCATCAAAAACCAGGAGCTTACTTTCTGCTGGAGCCAAAACAACTACAGTTGCAAAGAAAGCAGATGTAGTTGCTCTCCCCAAAAGAAATTATGCCAAAAGCACTACATCAAAGGCATCATCATTGGGGCAAACACAAAAATCTACAAGATCACAAGTGCCATCAGGTAGCCAGCAGTCGCAAAGCCTCATCTTCGTCATCACACGCACAAAAGAAGAGCGGAGTAGGAGCGTCATCTTCATCTGCTTCCAACAAGCGAAAGAGCTCTCCGATATCTTCCAGAAGCTGTGCATCAAAGAAGTCCGCCTCCCTGTCGTCCAGAGCACCACAGACATCATCAAAAGGCCAGCGGTCGTCGGGTATCTCCCCTGCCTCGACCCGCACGCGCTACCCTAAGACCACCTCGGCCACGTCAGCGGCCACCGGCAGCGGCCGGTCGCCGTCGCCGGCGTCGAGCGGCCCCCGGGCTGCCCCCTGCGCGCCACCGCCGCGCCTCAGCCGATCGGCCTCACACGAGGCACGCCTGAACCAACTGCGCAACCAGCTGGACCACCTGCGGCGCGTCTCACCCCACTTCGCCTCCCCCGAGTTCACGTCAACGCGCACGCAAGCTGGTGTCCCGCTCGCGCTCAACGTCTCCGGGCAGGCCGCGCGCGGCGGCCGGCAGCCCAGGCCGGTGCAGCAGCCAACTCGTCGGCGCTGTTCCACACGCCGGAGCGGGCCGGCGCGCCGCGCGCCGCGTCGCCCTGGCGCCCGCCCGCCGCACGGCGCGCCGTCCGCGCCGTGCGGCGTCACCTGGGTGGAGACGCGCAACCGGGCCGGAGAGCTGGGCGTCGGGGGCGCACCCGATCCGGTGGCCTGGCAGGCGCGCCGTGACCTGCCGCGCGTCACCTACCCGAGCGCGCTGCTGCGCGCCCGCTCGTCCTCCTCACAGACGCGCCAGTCGCCGCGCTTGTGCGTCGAGCGCACCGCGCCGCGGGCAACGTTGCCTAGTCGCGGCGCCCTGCGCAGGCCGGCGGGGCGCGCCGCCGCGCGGCGGTCGGCGACGCCGCCGGTGCGTGTTGGCGCCCGGCGTCCCGGCAGCGCGAAGCGGCCGTCGCCGGCCACCATCGACTACAGTCCGCAGTCGCGGTACATGAGCCGCCTGCTGCAGCGTGGCGCCGTGCAGCGGCCGCGACCACAGCGCCGCCCGGCGGCCGGCGCGTCGAGCCCCGCCCGGCTGCAGCGCAGCCCCGGCAACCGGCGTCTGGCCAAAGAGAACCGGCGGCCTGGGTCGGGCTCGAGCGGCGGCTCATGCCACATGAGCTGCGTCCGCTGCGGCTCGCCGTGCCGCTCGGGGTCTCGCGAGTCGGCCGGCCGCCGCGCCTCGGCCGGGTCGGCCGCCTCCGAGCCGGCCCGGCCCGCTCACCAGCCCAATACGAGGTCCATACTCAGGCCGTCTGCCTCGGTGAGCAGCAGAGCGCGGTGAGATTGTGGAGTGCCCCCGGGAGCGGTGAGATGTGATGTGAGAGCGGCTGAGCGACGTAGCGCTCCTCTTCCACTAGTCGTTGCATCAAGCAGTGCAATTTGCATGCTGATTATTAGTCGGGTTGGTGCCCAGTCATCCTGATTTTGGGAAGTTTATGGGTTGCAAAGTCGTGTGTTAAAACAAATTCTTGTCACCTATGTTTAACATATTCTTGCCGTAACCCGTGATATTTGTCGCCATTGTGCAGCCGATAATATCGCAACCTGCCAAATTGCGTGCATCTTTGTCTCGCCGCTGTCGTATTTTGCTGACCAGTGACATTGCTTTCAGTCGAACCGTGCTGTCAGTGACCCCGTCACCCGCCAGTCTCACCAGGACTGGGTGAGGTCTATGGTGAACCTTGCAGCGCCTCTGCCCAGGTCAAGAAAAGACGTCCAAGCTGCCAGGGACTTCAGGTGTGTGTGACGAGAGCATGCTGGGCAGCGGCACACGCTCCGGTTGGTGGCATATGTAACGTGTCGAGCGCTGTGACGAGTGGCCATAGGATTAGGACTGGTCCGACCCACTAGAGCGCTAGCGACGGGCGTCCAGTTCGGGCGGAGGTGGCCAGTTTGTGACACCAGAGAGCGCAAGCTGATGCTCAGGAGTGGATGGATGGCAGACTGATGGCTTGGGAGGCTGAAGCTTTAGCACAGAAACCATAGCTCGCGCCTGGCGGGGGGGGGGGGGGACAAGGTTTCCAGGTGGTCAATGTCCCTCTACCTCCTCCCCACACCTGCACTCTAGCGACCTTATTGATGGTCCACTTGGTTGCTGCCCTGAATCGGATTGGAATGTTCTGTTCGTTGGCGGAAGCGGCGACGTTCGGACGATTTGACACATCACTGTCTTAAGATATCAGTTAATAGCTTCAAAACTCGGCACTTGAAGCTAGTTTCAAAGACACCCATGCCTTCTTTATGACCTGTTCCGTCCATTGAGCTGAGTGCATTCTGTCTGTGCAGACATCTTGACCGGTAGCTCGTGCTGTGCTGCTGAACTGTGCCATGGCTAAACTGATTGTTACTGGTGTTTCCATAGAATGTCAGAACAAGATCTTTGTGCTGCGAGTTCTCTTTGGCTGTTTCATGGACAACGCCTCTGTGGTTATAGCGAATAGTGTTTTTTTTCTATACATGCAGTTGTTTTGCGTGCGCTTCCTGCGTGGTCCTTTTAATTGCCGTATTGTTATCAAGTGCAATGCATAAAATGAACTGTGTTGAAACAATCTTTTCCAGGCGACGATGCATTCGAAATGTGAAGATATACCAGAACTCACAACGCACCTTTCACTTTGTATCAAACCGTGCGCACCTCATGGCTAAGTAATCCGTTTACGCACGCGTTTAAACTGAAGTGGTCGTTTGCGAACGAAAGCGTAGATATTCCTATCTACATGCCATATGCCTCACATTTCATCTGATCTTTTGACCCCAGCTGTGCAGTTTAATTCGACTCCTGATGTTCTAAGAAAGAACCCAAACTCAAGACATTTGGTCAGCATCCAACATTGTTTATCGCCTGACATTCTAAAACTCTCACAACCAATGCGAAATAATTTTTAGGATGTGTTTTTGTGGGTGTACTGTGATTAGGAGCAATGCCGATTGGTGACTAAAATGGGATTTATAGGGGAGTATACGGATTCTCATAACGTCAAGCTGTAATTTGGTGCTAGCTGTTTTCACCACGCCTCTCATACAAACAGGTTCCACGACCTTAGTACCGCAACAAAAATTCCTACCGACAGGAGTACCACGACATTGCTCCTACAGCCAATACTTATACACGACGCTAGTGCTACGCGGCAAAACTAATCCCGCAAAAACTTATACCCGCCATTACCTCTACTGCAAGCCCCTATACAGTCATTACTTATGCAAATTACCTGCGCCGCAAACACATGCGGCTTAGTGCTACACGACAAAACTTATCCGTAGAAAATGTACGCTCGTCATTCCTTCTACTGTAAAGGCGTACGCAGTCTTTACTTATGCGTGACTTTACTTCTACTGCACAGACCTACGCGCTTCATTAGTGCAGCACGGCAAAACTGATACTTCAGAACATTATGCCCGTTATCACCTCTACTGTAAAAACATATACAGCTTTTGCTTATTCACGGCATTTCTCCGACTGCAAAGACTTATATACGACTTGAGTGTTGCAGCACAAACTTGTGGTGAAGTTTTTGCTGCAGAAAGTAATGATCGGCACAGCATAAATTTTGTTGTTCAGTGCTTCTGTCGTATCTGAGTTTTTGCACCAGAAATAATGTTGCGTATGAGTAAAGTCGATGAGTTTTTGCTGTACAAGTAATGTCACGTATAACTGATGTCGTTACACTTCAGTCAGTAGCAGTTTTTGCCGTAGCATTAATGTCGTGACACCATGCAAATATGACACGCCACTGTATTTACAATGGGGTCATAAAATACGCTGTTATATTTGTGAAGAGATCAGTGCACGTCAACGCACATCTTTTGTACAACGATAATCCTCGTAGCTTTTCTGTGGATACGCACACGCTTAAAGACTCGAGCATCATGCCTCTCGCAGTGACCGGAAATATACGTTCGTATCAACAACATGAAGTGCTATTGGTTTTTCAGGATTCCACTCCAATTTGTTTCATTATCGCCGATGATCGGATTTGCTGCTCCCCAGAGAAAGCAACTGGAGCGCTACTCACGCCGGGCAGCAGTGGAAGGAGGCGGGAGGCTCCTCATCGCGACAGTCAGATCACAAGTGTAAGTGGGTTGTGATGTATGCACATGCACCAGTTCAGCTGCTGGCAGAAGTGCTGTTCCGTGCCCACGTGTCGCGATCGCAGCCCTCCATCCGGCGGAAGTTGCCCGGCAACCCGGCATCGCGTCATTGCCTGTGACTGGCCGTCTGCGTCGGTTACAGGTGTGCATGAGTACTACATCAACTCACGACTGTTCCCGGTGCCGCTGTACACGGACGACGAGGGACGCAGCCGATGTCCCGTCTGCCTGGCTGTGGGGCCGTCACCGAAGGGCGCGCCACGCCGCGGCCGCTCACAGTCGCCCGGCGCCACCAGAGCCGGGCGGCCCCGCTCCCGCTCCCCCGTGGCTCCCCGGGCGAGCCGCTCACGTGCCAGCTCTAATGAGGTGTTTAGAGACGCGCGCTCGCGCTGCTCCTCCGCCACGTCCACCAGGGCGGTGCGGTCCCGCTCCCGCTCTGCTGCGGCGGGACCGTTCCCGCTCTCGCTCCCCCGGCTCTAGAGCGGGTCGCTCCCGCTCTCGTTCCCCCGCCTCTAGAGCGGGTCGCCCCCGCTCTCGCTCCCCCAGCTCTAGAACGGGTCGCCCCCGCTCTCGCTCCCCCACCTCCTCCAGGAGAGACCGCTCCTGCTCGCCCTCCAGAGGGAGTCGCGCCCGGTCCTCCACTCCGCCGAGTGCGCGCCATCCGGTCCGATCGGTCCGCTCGCCGTCGCCCACGCTGGTCCGAGCGTGCCGGCGCGGTGGGCCCACACCGCGGCGCCCCGCCGTCCGGACCGGGCGCGGGCGGCGCGCCAGCCCGTCCCGCAAGCGCAGCAGCGTGTCCTGGCACGACGAGGTGGGAGGCCGGCTGACCTCCGCCGGCAGCCGTTCCGGCAGAGGCGGCCGCGCCGGCAGCACCAGCCCCTCCAGCAAGACGCGCTCGGGACGAACGGGTCGCGCCGGCAGCACCAGCCCCTCCAGCAACACGAGGTCGGGTCGGACGGGCCGCGCCAGCCGCACGCCGTCGCCCAGCCGCAGCGCGAGCTCCGTGTCGCGCCAGATCTACTGCCCCAACTGTCAGCAGTCGATGCTGGCGGCGTCGGACGCCAGCGACGTGGAGCGACCACGCGGCCGACCGGCGCGGCCGCCGCCTCCGGCGGCCCCGCCGCTATCGCCGTCGGCGCCGGTGGCCGTGTCCCCCCGCTCGTATTCGCGGACGTGCTGCAGCCCGGCGCAGAGCCGGCGACGTCGCTCGCCCGTCACGCTGCGCTCGCGTCCGACGGCCAGCCGGCAGCCAGTGCAGGCCATGTTCACCGTGCCGACGGCGCTGTTCGGCGGCAACGCGCCCGGCAAGGCGGCCCAGCAGGACGACGGCGGCGGCGCACCGCACGCCAGAGGACGCGACGTGGCGCTGGGGCCGCGCGGGCTCGACTGGGACGCGGCGAGCTTCGGCGAGCGCGACCCGCTGGAGCCGGACGAGTGGCCGGGTCAGGCGCCCGAGCCGAGCGCGGCGCGCCACCCGCTCTGGCCGCGCCAGCTCGACCTGCCGCTGGGCGTGCGGCCGATCGCGCGCGGCTGGCCGCAGCTGGAGCGGCGCGGAAACCTGGGCCGGCGCGCGGCCCGCCTGGAGGCGGCCGCCCGCCGCCCGGGGCGGGACCCGGCCGGCCGCAGATCAATCGAAACGACCGGCGCCGCCGCCGCTGGCGCCAAGAACACGTACAGCCTGCGGCGGTGTATAGGGGAGAAGATATGATGAACGGCGGTGGTCGAGTTATCATGCCGAGCGAGTAACCGTCTTGCCAAATTACACGGGCTGTGAGGTGCCTGGTGCCGGGCTGCACGCTGTTACGGGTTGCATGAAGTCTAATGATCCATGGTGTTTCGATTGCACGCGATTACCGAGCGAATACATTCATGCATTATGTAATATGCTTTCCATCTCGACGGAAGCGCTAAGTGGGTGAGCTCATTTACTCCGCACAGAACAGCAGAAGCATGCGACACTCGTGCACTCATGGAACAGCCGAGACAACTGCACGACAGATCACCTGCTACACAGCCGTGGCAGTCAGGCTGCTTGTGTGCAATCCCGGCCAGCCAGTCGACAGCAAAGCCCGGTTTGTCACGACGACACGTGTGAGCCGGAACTGGGTGTCATCGAACGGTCTATCGCCGTCCTGAACATGTCTTAGGTATATTCACGTGAACACGGGGTGTCTGGCAGCGGCACTTCACCCCCCGGTCCCGAGGGCGGGCACTCGAGCCTCCAGCGACAGGCCACTCCCTGTCCCGAGACGATGTGACAGTGAGACCACCCGTGTAAGGAGTGGGACCCGAGACCGTACGTCAGCGACAGGTCACGCCTGGTCCCGGGGATGTAACTGTGTGGAACTGAACACTCGTCTGCGATCGAGGCTGTCCGTGGACGGCAGGTCACGCCTCGTCCCGGGGATGTAACTGTGTAGAACTGAACACTCGTCTGCGATCGAGGCTGTCCGTGGACAGCAGGTCACGCCTCGTCCCGGGGATGTAACTGTGTGGAACTGAACACTCGTCTGCGATCGAGGCTGTCCGTGGACGGCAGGTCACGCCTCGTCCCGGGGATGTATCTGTGTAGAACTGAACACTCGTCTGTGGCCGAGGCTGTCTGTGGGCGGCATGCCACGCCTCGTCTGCGCGCTGTCTGATGTCTGTGCACTGCATGTGTGCTTTGATGTCTGCACTATCTGTGCGTTGTTCGATGTCTGTGCACTGTCTGTGTGCGCTGTGTGGTGTCTGTGCATGCTGTCTGATGTCTGTGTGTTGTGTGTGCACTGTCAGATATCTGCGCGCCGTATATGCATATTTGATCGCTGTATGTTGTCTGATGTACATGCGCTTTCTGATATCGGTGCGTCGTCTGGTGGTTGTGGGCCGTCTGGTGTCTGTGGGCTGTCTTATGTTATTCCTCTGTCGGCTGTAAGGGGGCCTCCCCGTTCCTGGGGTCCCCAGCAGCTGGCGGCAGCAGTCGTCTCCCCGGTCGTTTGGCCCGCGCGGTCTTGGGCGGGGAAAATCACAGGGTCCCGTGCGTGGCGGGCGGGCCGGCCGTAATTGGCGAATGCCCTGTTAGGCAGAAGATGACCCGAGAGAGAACCAGGCCAGCTGCCGGCAGTCACGTGACGTGCTTTGCCGGTGCTTGGCAATGAGCCGATGGCGGCGGCGGCCGCCCGTTAGCGAGGGCGTCGGCCCGGCTGCTCGCCAGCCGCTGGCAGTCAGTGCTGGGAGACGGGCGCAGTACTGACGCTGAGAACGGCCCGGCTGCCCGCCAGCCGCTGGCAGTCAGCGCTGGGAGACGGGCACAGCGCTGACGCCGAGAACGGCCCAGCTGCCCGCTAACCGCTGGCAATCAGCGCTGGGAGACGGGCACAGCGCTGACGCCGAGAACGGCCCAGCAGCCCGCTAACCGCTGGCAATCAGCGCTGGGAGACGGGTGCTGTGCTGACGCCGAGGATGGTCGCTCTGGAGATCTGAGAGTCTTTTTTGGTATTATGGAGCGCGTATTATAGATCTGATAATCTTGCATATATGCATACGATGGATTCTGACAGGTAGGCTGCGCTGGCGTATGTGCAAACGTCCAGGCTAGTTTTGCTGGGTTATGTCGAGACCCAGAACTGAATTGAGAGATGAGACGTTCTGTCCCATTGCTGGAGATGGCCAGTATTAAGGTTTTTTTTTACTTATAAACCCGGCATGACACAATGACAAGAGCAGGCCCACGCCCAAACGGAGCATTTCATACACTTGGTCACGTTGTTCAAGTTCCATTCATTTGTCGCATCCGCCATAACCTGCTCAAAAATGATCTATATTAATAAGTCAGTCAGTCAATGTAGGCCAGCAGTTTTATGAAATCAATATTTACTTAGCGTGGATTTGTACTGATCCTGTATCACTTTCAGTAGTCTATGTTCTTCGTTGATTCCTACATCTGAGCTGTTTTAAAGGCCGGATTATGTCCGCTTTCTCTCTGTAAGCGCTTTTTGCCTATTTCCCCCGCATTCTCGTTCAATATGTGCGCCCTCCATCTCCACAAAATCTCCTGCCAAAATCGCTATGGTATTGTAAGCGTTCGTGCCGGCCCGTACTGTGCAGGTGACCATTTCGCATAGGTTAATTTTCCCCAGTCAAATGGTCCATTACCGGGCTATTTGGCGGCCGGTGCGGCACGCGATGTCTGGGCGGAGGCAATCGTAGAAAACAACTACTGTCCAGACTGACGGGCAAAAACAGGCCGATGATAACGGGAGACGGCCGGCAGAAACAGGCTCGTGCCACAGTCTTGTAAAGGAAATGCGCTCAGAACGATAGATGATTGCATACACAAATGACGCACTGGAGGCAAACCGGAATGAGGCTGTACGCACGGTCACTGGATCTATGAGGCTGTACGGTGGGATAGGAGCGGCGTGGAGGCTGAATGCGTCGGAAACTGGATGCTCATCGTGATAGCAGTTTCCTTTCGCCTGTAATTATAATATGAAAATTGTCTATTGTATCCAGCGGAATAAACACCCATTTTAGTTTGATGACAAGACATGGAAAAATGTTTTGTTTTTCTCTGTTCATGCTTAGTTGTCATAGCAGGCCCAATACATTTGGCAAATAAGTCACAGCTTAGCCTATTGCTGGACGTTGCGACGTTAACCGGCAGCAGCCGAACGGCGAAAATCGATTTGAACGATACAACCCGCGTGAAGCGCTCATCCGATACCGAATACGATTACTACAAAGACGTGGAATATTACAACTACTACGGCGTAGAAGATCCGGTGAGTCTTTGTAGTGTGTTGTGTAGTGTGTGTTTGTAGTAGTGTAGTGTGTCATGAAAAAACGTGCAAGCAAAGAGCCGATCGATATCAACGTTCTCCTCTCCTTGACTTGCTCTGTATACAGTACTACGACGAGAAGAAGGCAGAACAGGCTGAATTCAACTTCGAGAAGAGCCTGGACACCAAGACCCAGGTGCTGATCGTGGTATCAATCGTGGGCCTGCTGCTGCTCTTCTGCATCTGGCAGGTGTGCTGCTACCCGGCCATCCGACTGTGCAGCTGGTACTGTACCTACTGGGGCACCCTCATCAGGATGGCGGTGGATTCGTGCCGCGGCATCGACCCCCGTAAGTGCATCCACAGCAGGCCCAGCTCGAGGGTAAAGTCGGTAATTTTTTTTTGGGGGGGGGGAGGCAGGCTGTATTATACCTGATTGGGAGAACCTCAGCAGATCAGAAAGAACTACGTTTAACTTTAAAAAATACGCAGCGATTCCAATTTCGTGAGAATGTGTGTTGATACTCTGAGCACACATCCTGCAAAGCAAATGTAGCTCAGGAGTAAGCAAAACGAATTAAAATCTGTCCAGACTGAGAGAGCTTGAATGACCATTTGGATGACGGACGTCTTGTAGAGTTCGTTTGTGTCAATGTGGCAATCCACATTGACACAGTTGACAATTGACATTGACACTGGGAGAACGCCTTTGTGAATATGACGGCAGGAGTTCAGAAACAGGAGGCAAGAAGACCAGTTGCCCAACCCAAATAATGTGAAAAGAGTGTTAGCCAGCCCCTGTTGTACATTGTGAGATGAAACAAATCTCCAGCTTTCAGCAGTCTTTCTTGACGCATTCTGCCTGATCAAATCAAAATGGCTCTCCTATTGAACATCATGGGTGCAGTATAGTCGTCAGGTCCTGGTGGTGTGCGAGGCCAGAAGTTGTCTACCTGATTGTTCTGAATCTGCGTGGGGCTTGGCCAGGAACTTACATTATGCGCTGGCACAAACATAGGCTGCAGCCTCATCTAGATGTACCCGTATGCCGCTTCTCTTTCCGTGGAATCCTGGTGACCCCGGGCGCGGGTCAGACCCGGGTCCGGGGTCTAGATGTACCCACATGACGCTCCCCTTTCCGTGGAATCCTGGTGACCCCGGGCACCCGTCAGACCGGGTCCGGGGTCTAGATGTACCCACATGACGCTCCCCTTTCCGTGGAATCCTGGTGACCCCGGGCGCGCGTCAGACCGGGTCCGGGGTCTAGATGTACCCTCATGACGCTCCTCTTTCCGTGGAACCCTGGTGACCCCGGGTGCGGGTCAGACCCGGGTCCCGCATACGTCACCTGCCGTATGCATGCCGATGAGCTTTCAGCCTACGGGTATGGTGGCAGGTCATAATAGGCTAACAGAGTGCTTTTGTTTATATCTTTTACCCGTTCTGTCATGCAGGTATAGAGTGTGTTTATCGTTCGACAAGGTAGCAGGTAATATAACCTTGCCCCGATGCAAATAAACACGATCAGCTGATAGCAAAACAGCAAAAACCTGCCTATAGCACGCATGCACTACCAACTTTTACATAGGCCTCTGCGTCTTTCTGGCAGGTTACCGTATGATGGAGAAGATGGTAACCTCGATGGGGTTCGCCATGCCTTCGTACAGCGAGTGGAAACAGTGGATGGCCGCCTACGAAGATATGATGCTGCAGATGGCCGAGGGCCAGTGTGAAGGCATCACGGACATGGTGAAGGGCTTCAAGAGCGCCATGGGGCCGTTGAAGCAAATGATGGGCCAGGGCATGGACCAGATGGGTAACGTAGGTGCCATCATGGGTGGCATCGGCGACGGGCTGGCCGACTACGCCAGCGGCATGCCCATGGGCGGCATCATGTTCTAGCTGTTCCGACGTCGCAGCCGCCTGCACCTGCACGAAACGGGAGCCATGGCCTCAGGAAACGCCGTGAAGATGTTGTTCCTGTTCCCGTCGGCTGTTTTTGTATCATGGGTCTTGCAACTTTTCAATGCGATAACTGAGGCTTTGGTAGAGGATAGCTGTGCATATATGCCGTTAATATAGATAATGATATTGACTGCGGATGCGACTACGGCGGATTGATAAGCATGACAAACCTGCAACCGCGGTTGACTGCTGTTGGACAAACCCGTAATGCGCTAAATGATCTACGAGATGTGAGTAGAGGAAACTCGCAAGTTACACAATCCATATCACCACAAGAACGCGCGCTTTGCACATGAGAAGGCTTTGCGTACGACGCTAATTGCGCATAAGACACAGGGATCAATCGGCATGACCCTCATGCATCACGTGTGCATGATCAGTGCTCACCGTGAGGGCAAGGCTGAGGCAGAGCACGAACATGTTCCTTTACAGTGTACGTTCATTTTCGCCTTGCCGTATATTTGTGGCCAACGTGTTTTGTGGGATAATGCCAGCCGTACCTGCCATCATAATTGTTCCAATTGCACATGAACGTTATCCCTCATATCCAGCTCACCGCCGCATTGCCTCCTATTTATCTCCATATCCAGCGCTGGGCGGCGATCAGCAGCAGTTTAGCCTCCCCTCTAATAGGGCCCGGTGCGCGCGCCGCGCCGCTGCGCCGCCGCCGCCAGCCGTGGCAACCGTCAGCTGGCGGCGGCCGGGCCAGCCCCGAGAGAGGATCAGCCGCTGCACTCGGCCACGGCTGGGCTGGCTCGGCCGCTGATTGGATCCAGTTAGCCGCTCTGTCTGCCGACAGCGGCCGGGCACGCGCGCCGTCCTCGGGCGCCACCAATGGGCTGGGGGACTCACGGCCGGCACGGGCGGCGTCTCGCTTACAGACACGCTGTGCTGTGCGCAGAAGCACGCTGCCCCCTCCCCTCTGACCCCCCCCCCCCCCGCCCCCGCCGCCCGGGATAAGGTGCACACGTCTGCAGGCTTAGGGCGTCGCCAAAGGAGTTCGAATTGCCCGGGCTAGTGGGGATACCAGGTGACCGTGAAGTGGCATTGGCGACACAGCGCTACCTGGTGCCACCTTTGTGACGATGCCGTTCGAATATTTGTTAATGTGCATGCGCACGATCAGAACCGATCCAGGGTTCTTTCCTAGAGAGTTCCAGGAAATTCGAAGAATCTTGAGGCAGTAGAAAGATCCTAAAAAGCATCAAGACAAACAGAGCTGAAAAAACACGTAGGTACAAGGTGGTCACGAGCGGGGTGTAGTTTCCTATCCAGTTAGAGCCCTAGCTTCCAACTTTGAAAGGGGAGTGGGCCAAATTCGATGAAAATCCTCTGCTTCGTTTTTTGCGAGCAGTTTTAACCATCTTCCCCGGTCAGGACCCCCCCCCCCCAGCTATTGTTGCAATGTCTTTGGGCCCCCGGACCATGGACGCTGGTCGGGGGCTCAAAGACTTTTATGAAAGGGAGAAATATGGCATGAAAATGGAGAATACTGAAAACACGGTCGTATTCAAGGGAGGTGGTACTGGGCGCACCTACAACATCATCAAATTATTACGGACATGGATATACACATAAACAAATATTGACGGTTTAAAGATGGAAGTAGGCACCTAAAAATAAGTAGATTGTTACACGTAATGTGATGTTGTTACACGCAATGCGAGAAATTTTGTGAGCCTGAGATAACGGTGAAGTGGTGTTTTCAGTACAAAACCTCGAGTTGCTCCCCACCACTATTGCAAATGTACAGCAGCCCCAGACCGTATTGGTTCGGTCATCTTCGAAACATGAGAAGTTGGGTCTGTCGGCACTGAAGCGAATAAAAGCCCGGAACATTTCAAGCCATATATGAGAGTATTTACAGCCATAAATATGGAAACAATTGAGTGGGTAACAGCCGATGATGATATCTTATTTCTGAAAAGGATCCGAGGTCGCACAACTCTCCATTGAGCATCACAAAGCTGTGCTAGAGCAGGATGATGCCCCGACTGGAGTACGGCGTGACGGACCGCCCTGTTTACGAGCGTGTCGCGAGATTTCCATTCAGCGTGGGCCACAATCGTTATCCCCCTTCAAATACTCCAGTCGATTGAGGTGGAGCGACACCTGTTAAATTGACTTATATGGCCTTGGTTAAATCAATATTTGACGTTACTGTTAGGTAACTAGATAAAGTTTTTCTGATTTCCACCGGAAAACAGTGTTTTGCGATTTTTTTCTTGAGGAATGGCGTTTTCCATACAGTTGAAAAAGCCAGTTCACAAGGTTTCTCTATGGATAGGGTCACCTACCTTGCTCATCACTATCATTTGCAGTTTTTGCCGCTTCGTGATCAGATAGCTTCGACAAGAGACCGTATGGCGGCTTGTACACCTAAGTCATTGACTTCTCAATACATTCTACCGCTTACTACATTTGGTCAAAGGACAATTTGAGTTTGTAACGGCAGACAGGATATCACGCTGTTCTAATAATTGCAACCCAATGAATCCTCACGCACTAAATGCAGGACAGCGTGCGTATTCGATCAACAGCAATCAACGCCCTAACTGCCCTGGATTCGTGACCGCCAGCACCTCCCGCCACTGACCAGCATGTAGCCGCCCCTGCGAGGGGTGTCCCGCACGCATCTCGCGATGGCTCGCCACCCACAAGGCCCCCCACCGCCCGGAAAATCTGCCGTTGAGAACTGCATTCGTAAGTCGATGACTGGATAGTGTAGAATCCGACTGGCTAATAACCCCAAGCGTACGCCTGGATTGAAAACAGGTCAGACAACTATGGCTATTTGAAATAAATTGTAGCTGCAGTCGAGCCACCAGTCAAATCAGACGTGCTGAGTCGAACTGGCCAGCTCTCCTCAGCTCAAGCCGTGACTGTCACATTGTAACCGGGCAGAGCAGCCACAAGCGGCGCCTGGTTATACGATTGCCATTATCACCGTCCGTTCCAGTGCCCAATGAGGGCCGCCGGCGTTTCGGACGGGCGCAATTGCCGGGCGCCTCTACGCCGATTGGCCAGTGCCATCGATGACGTCACGAGCATCACTACGCTCCGCCCACCAGCGGGGGCCGGGCATCGGAAACTCGCATCGGGGAGGCGTTTCACTTGGGGAAACGGACCAGCCTGACCTAGCCGTCGGGGCACCTTCGACAGAATCAGCTTCTCGGCAGCTCTTCACACCGCTCACGCAGCATGGTCGCCAGCCAGTGCGGCTCGAAGCCGGCGGTGTCCGTACCCTCCTGCGAGCGTCGCCCGGAGGCGACCGGCAGCCCCAGCCTGACGGTGCCGCCGGGCGCCGCCGAGCAGACACCGGCCGGCGGTGGGCCGGCGCCCCCGGACGCCGGCTCAGCCAGCCCCGGCGCGCCGTCGCTGACGCCCACCTCAGACGACTCGCCGGCGGATTTCCCGCGCTTCCACTTCAGCCGGAGGTGGGCGGCGACGGCGGGCGGCGAGCGGGCGGTGCCACCGCCGCCCGCGCCGCCCCACTCGCCGCCGCTGACGCCGACCGGCGCGCCGCCGCCGCTGCCGCCGGGCCTGCCGCCGCCGCCGCCGTACGAGCCGGCCCGAGTGCCGTACTTCCCGTTCATGCCGTTCCACTCGCCGGAGACGCTGCGGCCCTTCGACCTGCACTTCGGCGGCCTGCCAGCCTTCTGTGAGTACGGCCCGGCTGGAGGGACGCAGCCAGGAATCCGTCACCGGACCAGGGAGCTATGGCATTTCGGGTGGATGTACACGACTGGTCGCATTTAATTTGTAATAGTATCTTGTGGGTCCTGCATCCACAACTTCTAGTCGCTAAAGCCATTTTAGGGATGTCCTGGGATTCCTGGAATTGCGTGCGTTACATAAGGTGATTTGCATCGCTTTCGTAGTGGCTTAGGAACGTCCGCAAAAGTGGAGTGCTAACCTTCCTTCCTGACCTTAAGCTTACGTCGGATCTTGTCGTGCCTTTCCCTAGTACTGATGTCCAGTTATTGCGAAACGTGTGAGGTCCAAGGCCACCGACCGCGTCGGCTACCACGCCGCGTGTCGTGAATGTAAAAAAGTAGTCATCAACGGTCATCAAAAGGTTCAGTCATCAACAAGTCTGTTTTGTCATCAATGTCTTCGTACGAAGCATGGCTGACAAGAAACATGGTCAAGCAATGATCCAAACAGAAAACCCAAATGGAAAAAGTACAGCAAACTTGAAATTATAAAAATCATGAGGGGGCGACGTAACAAAGATGAATGTCAAATTGAAAAAAAATCATGACGGCTTTTTTGCTGAAAATAACCATCTTCATAGTACCAGAAGGTACTGCGTGTTCCTGAGCATTTCTCATCTTCATTTCTTTTTGGTTATCATAAGTCATGTAGAAAAGTGGACCTGCCAGGCTGCAAAAAGTTGTCATTTTCCAAATTCAAATCATGTTGCTGCCGTCACATGACAGTTTTCCATGTGCCCGTAAAGCAAAGCTGGCTCAATGTATGACCTGAGTTGCTCACAACGGGTAATGTAAGATCATCTGCGGTCATTACATGATTTTCCATGAACTGACCTTGCGCTTAAAGCTCGTGATGGCAAAACGACAATTATAACGATACACCGAGGAAGGATTGCTGACTTAACTAATCCCTTTGTTATTGATCTAACATGGCCTGTGTTTCAAATAACCCTTAATCACATTCTTTATAAGTCCACCCTGCACAACTAGTCCATGACACTCAGGCACATCAATGTTCACAGCATGCAGGCGATTAATTTCGGTCCATTACAGAATGACTGTGGTAGGGCTAAAGCGATGTCACTTTGACATCGATGACCATTACCAAAGATATGGATATCATTGCTGTACACTACAGGACCACTTCGTGCATTCCGAACCATGTGAAAAATTATACGCACGGAGAGCCACAGGAGCGTCACAGGGCACATATTTTCCAACATTTTACCGTGCAGACCCTTGAGAACCAGGTCATCGACCAGTGACCTGACGACACGGCCGACAGTGGCCTGAAATTTAGTAACGAACGATTTCAAACTTATTCAGCCAGACATTCGTTACGATGAGCTGGCCGTTTCGGGTGAATGACTGTAAAAACAGTGTGAGCGCTTGCACATTGTGTCACGTATCACCATATTGCACTAGAAAGGATAACCATTAGGCCTTTCGATTCCATTTTCTCTGTCACCAGACGGTGACGGTCCTCTTACTGCAGCGGATGCGCCAGTGATAAATCACTGCAGCATGATGCAGCTTTACTAGGATTACCCAAAGCTGTTTACTGCCTGGCTATCTCAAGTCACAGCAGAGTAGCAGTTGGACAACAGAGGACGGTTTCCGTGTTCTGACTGAAGTACAAAATCGCCCGTCTGGCAAACAATTATATTTATGCTTTCAATAAGTGTACAAAGACGCCTTTCTTGCAGTTCCTCATTTGAGTTTTCGCAGTTTGGGTTTCCCCTTTCTGACATTTCCTTTGTTGATCTTTACCCTGTTGGCTTGCATCCTCTTTGAGGTTCCGTCCTTTGAACTTCCCTTTCATCGCTCATCCTTATTAAATGTTATCCCCTTTTGATTTCTAGGCCCGAATTTTTCTCTGTGTAATATCATCCCCGCTGAATTTTACACCCATATATGATTATTAATATTTCCGCGTGTCCTCATTTCGTTTTGCTTTTTTGTGCCCGTTTTTGATACCCTGGGCTTTTGCTACCTTATTTCCATCATTTTTTTTTTTGCTCACTTCACCACCTCACCTTTTGCTTTTGTGCTGCCACCAGGAAAACAGGAGGTTACGGTGCTAAAAGGAGTTAAATGCAGTTTTTACATCTCACACAAGTTTAACAGATAATGCTTGAATAATGCTAGCTCACATTCTGATGGCAACAATGCGCCTTAAACTAGCTCTCCCCCGATGCGCATAGCATCTCAAAGAGGTATCGGTACAAACCGCCATTTGACACTATTTTTGTTATTAGAGGCCAGACGCCGAATACCTGAGAAGGGAGCATTAGGTTTTTACGGTGTTCCTTTCCACGCGACGTCCTTAGCGTGGCGCCTATTTCCACAAAGTTATCAAGATGCTGACTCGAACGAGAAAATAGTAATCTAGTTTTGTTTTGACATTTCAGGACGCGTGCCAATGTTTTCAATGTTGGTATTTTAAGCCATCTCACCGGTTGGAGAAAGGAAAAAACACTCCGCTTTATTCGTTAAGCTATATCAACATGTGCATGTACTAAAGGGCCGCGAAGCAAACGGGAGGGGGCAGAGAGGCAGGCAATAGTGTGCTCTTGCCCACGAACAACTATGAGAGGCCCGAGTTGGTTTTAAGGAGGCCCCTTTCCTGGTTTGGCCCCTCGATGGATCAGCACGCCCCTGTACAGGATTGGGAAGTGACCTTTATAAATATACCAGCAGGCCCACATTTTGCAACAGGGCGGCCAATTTTATGCATCAGAAGGCCACCGTTCCTGGTGACATTGCCCTGTTTTGGGTTAACGAGACCCTTTGCTAGATTTGGAGTCTCCCCCATGAATTAGTTGGAGTCCCCTTGATGAATCTGAGGGATCCTGTCCTCGATAAGAACACACTTATCGATATATTTATAACACATTAGAAGCCCCTGTCTGGGTTAGGAAGGTTCTTTGGTGAATTGAGAAGCCCCCTGTATTAATCAGAAGCCCCCATACTGTGCTTTTGACTGTCGACGCATGTTCCCATGGATTTTGATTCATGCACATGTTTGATAGGGGGTATGTGCCCCGGTGTCTCCCTTGAATACGACATTGCTCAGGAGCCCCCGTAAACAGTAGATCCCTAACAAATTCTACCTCCATCTCCGTCGGGCCGCCCCTGCAGGTACTGAAAGGTATTCAATCAGAGTCAGCTAGAACAGTCGGATGCCTTCTGCGTCATTTTGTCTACAAACTGCTCCAACTTTAAATCCTGTGGTGATTAATAAATTATTTGCCACATATCAGCGAGTGCAAAATTGACTTCGTGTGAGGATTATGGATAATATGGATGCACGGTAGTATTAAGTGGATGATGTAAGCTCATTATCTAAAAGCCGAAACCGATCCAGCACAACGCAACAGTGTTTGACAAAAAGCAGTTAGCCTTCCACCTAGCGGCGGTTTGGTCAATGCGCATGACTTCCGACACTATCTACCGTTAACTAACCAAACGAGTGCAAAAAGGCATGTTCCGTGGCATATCAGTCTGTTCCAAACACCTGGCATCATTCAGAGTGATCGCTGCCCTGCCCGGGGTATGGTCTGGTACCGCACTGGCCTGCGTCGCCATGCAGAGCTGATACAGCATATCTTACCGTCGGTTGGCGTGGGAGGCACTTCCGGTCGAGGCGCTCGCCACGGGGGTTCACTGTAGGCTTGCTACGAATCTGATGGGTGTCCCAATCAGCCCAGCGAAAGAGCGAACCCACGACGTTATACCACGAAACGATGCGGATATTGACGGAGATTTAGCTTGTTTCCGTGCAGTGGCAAACACACCAGCGTCCACTTCCCAAATTACAACCGGATGAAGATGTCACTAAGGCTCAAGTGCTGTCATTTGTCCTGTTAAGACGTTGGCGCTTCACTATGACATTCGTCGGAAGTCTTACGTAGCATCTGCAAGGATTTTCCTTACATACATGAAACTCCCGAATGACATAAACATGGCAATTATAACGAACACAGGCAGCAGCGACCTGCATCACCATCTCCGATACTAAAAGTTGCCGATGAATTTTCTCGAGATTTTCATGCCTCCCGCCATCAGTAAGTGATGGAATGAAATGTGTGATGTTTATTTTATCCGGTTTTCAACGCCAGCTCTTCCGAACTCGTTTCGCAGCGTGTAGACTTTTTAGAGTCCACATCCATTGACGATCGAGCGAGCTACAAGGAGTCATTGGCATTCAAACGTCTGATATGTAACTGAAGCGGTTGATTATAGTGGCAGCTGATGAATGGTACGCATGGTAGCTGTCAGCAGCCAGCCCCGACAATGCACTGGTGTGTACCGATGCTCAACTGAAAATTGATTATGTATGGGACTGAAGAGGCTGGACTGAGAACGGTAAAATCTTAGATCAATGCATTTATGCATGCTTGGCACAGACGCAGGGGCGATATTGACCAATAGGTCGATGGGTGGTGTGGTGTATATACTCTGCTGGGTCCCGTTGGAAAAACGTGTCCTTTCATGGATTTTCATTCCTATCTCCCTCTCTTTACCATTACATGACGGCACACAAAATGCATGCCAAACCGCTGGCCCATCATCAAACGCTTTGTTTCGTCTAGTTACCATGCTGTTGCATCTGCAATCGCATTGTGCTACCGATCCGCAACTTCTCATTCGCTTTTGCTCGTAGCATTTCAGCCCAGTGTGAAGCGAACGCCGCTTCTCGCTGGCGGGGTCTGTGAGCTAAAGGGCTTTAGCAGGTATAGGTCTGGCCCGGTCATCACGTGACGATTACTGCATACCAGCGGACACAAGCGGTAGTTCGTGCCAGTTCATTCATCAGTGTCGAACACCCATACGTGCATGACCTGTCCATTTCTTCGAGGCCGGAGGTGGTGTCATGGCTGCACCTCCCGACTACCTTATCGCCGCTGAACTGCCAGACAGGGCGCAAGGGATCTTCTTAAGG